GACCTGCTTCCCCCTGGCACACAGCGGGCACCCAAACTCCAGTGGTGGCTGCTGCTGTCACTCCGCTCCAAGGGCCCTGAAGAAGCCATCTCATCCGACAGCCCACCTTTATCGTAAGAACCTTCCAGAGGACCAAAAGAAGGTAGAAATTTGACAAGGGATCTAGATGGGAGAGGCAGAGAGACTCTTAAAGTATCAGTATAACTACAAACTGAGAAAGAAAGATACGGACCAACAGCAAGAAGCAGATGAACACGTAACCAGATCGGAGGACTGGGAGAGACACGGCTCCGCCAGCGGGTGATGTGCAGCCTCCAGGGGAGTGACTGGCGAGGCAGAGAGCCCGCGTGGCTGGTGCGTGGCGGGGCGGGCAGAGCAGCAACCTCCGGCCGGTACCTGCCCTGCACAGGGGCCAGGCCGCAAGTGAAAGAGCCGGGTCTGACCAAATGCACGGTAGGAACTAGGAACAGCCACGCAGCGCGCCGGAAATAGAGCCGCAGAGACGCAAACCACACGAGCCGCCTCCCACAGGAAGACCGCAGCCTGGAGCTGGGGACTGTGCTTGCGAAGGCCCTGCCAGGACACGCCCATGTCACCGGCGCCCGTGGAGACAGACATGGTCATGGCAGCATGGAAGTAATACTTCACACAGTCCCTGAGCTGACCAACACCAACAAAGGTGGCCACGTCATTTTGCTTGGGTCAGTGCTGCTGCCCAGCCCCGGCTGGTCGACTTGGAGCTGAAGTTCCCAAACTGTGTTCCAAAGCACCCTGGGGTGCCCAAGGAATTTGCAGGCCAGACCCCTAGCTGGGTAAAGGTAGCTGAGTTTCAGCCTGGATGGTGCTATATTCTTTCAAAGGTATCATACCTTTATGAAGCTGGGTTTGGGGGCCGTTGCTACTGGGACCAAAAGCAAGTACAGGTGACACTTGAACAACTCAGGGATTTTGACTGCCAACCTCCCCACAGTCAAAAATCCAAGCAGAACTTTTGACTCCCCCAGAACTTAACTACTAATAGCCTACTGCTGCCTGGAAGCCTTGCTGGTAACATACACAGCTGGTTAACACATTTTGGTATGTTATGTGTACTATACGCTGTCTTCTTATAATAAAGGAAGCTAGAGAAAAGAAAATGTTATTAAGAAAATCATTAGGAAGAGAAAATGTATTTATTATTCATTAAGCAGAAGTGGCTCATCATAAAGGTCTTCATCCTCCTCGTCCTCACACTGAGTAGTCAGAGGAGGAGGAGGAAGAGGAGGGCTTGGTCTTGTGGTCTCAGGCGTGGCAGAAGCGGGAGAAAATCCCCACGTAAGTGGACCCGCGCAGCTCAAAGCCATGTCATCTGCAGGTCACCTGTACTGCGTGACCTCAGCATGGAACAAGTGGGGGTGTTCCCGAGGGCAGGTAACTGCAGTCATTTGAGAAGGAAATAAAAATATTATTTATTTCTTTGAAATGATGTGAATTTTTTTCCAAATAGCTACTAATTATTAAGTTCTTTGGAACTAATTACCTAATAAACAAAGCCCTTAGGTATTTCTTTTAGCCTGAGGAGCTGGGGAAAAAAATTACAGAAAGTTTTGAGCTTAAAGGATCCCATCTGGTGTGGAGACAGTGTCTGCAGACTGACCTCCCACATGGAGGGTCAGGGAAGCTTCTAGAAGGCACTAAGAACTCAATGGGCCCAGGGGTGAGGGTGGAGGGAGCTCTTCCTCCTCTGACTCTGGACTCCCACCCTGTCCTGCTGGCTCTCCCCTCTGGGGTCCCTCAGCCACGAAGATCCCGGGGCCCCAAGCTCTCTGCCTGCCCAACTCCCTTCCCTGAATTCCTCCAACTTCTTTTTTGCTCAAAGGAGGGAAGAGAAAGAAACACAAGATGAATCTGTTAGCGTCTGAAATCCTGGCTCACGCCACCCATAATAGGGACTTGGATCCGCCATAGACAGGGAGCTCACTACCTCACAAGGCAAACTGCCCATCAGAGACGCACCCTCCCATCCCACTGCCCTCCTGCCAGGTCATGTCCTCACCCCAAGCAGGGGTTTTCTAAAGCTCCTGGGGCGGGAGGTGCCTTCTCTCCCTTGGGGGCCTATCCTGGAAGGGACGGGGCACCGAGGCCCTCCAGCAGCCAAAAATGCTCCTTTGCCAGGACCATCCCCAAATGGGGAGTTTTGTTCCATCAGACCCGAGGCTGATCCCTCAAGGCTCAACCCCAAAGCCACCCCTGTGTCAACGTCTCATACGCCCCCTCCAAGAACACCACAAGCCCCTTCCCTGATGCTGGCTTCTGAGGTCCCACCCACCTGCCTGTCCCGCGGGGTCGGAATGTGAGTCTGTGTCCCTGCCAATGGCAAGATCCCTGGGGACAGAGCCAGGGCTCAGCCACCTTGCAGCACCCACCCCGAGCACACCAAGCACGTGCCCCGTGCGTGTCCCTGTTCCGAGGTCCCAACTCCCCGCCGCCCACTGCTGTAGGCTGCTGGGACACTGACCGCGGCAGGTCGGTCTGGGGCAGCCCCGCCGCGTAACGGCAGAGGGCGCTCGCGGGGAGCCGCTCGCCCGCGGCAGCCGCGCGGGACAGCGAGGGACCCGCCGCACTGCAGGTGAAGACACGCTCGGGGCGGTCGGGCTCTGTCGCGAAGGCAGGTCGCGGAACTCCCGGCGTCAAGTTAAGGAGCAGGAGGGAGCCCCCGGCGCTCGGGTGCGAGAGAAACCTCCCTGTCCTGCGCGGGGGTGGCTCCAGCGCCCCCCCCAGGCCGGGAGGGGCGCCGCCCTCGCCCTGCGCCATCAGACCCCAGGGGCTGAGACGCGACTCAGGAGATGGCGCAGGACTGTCCTCCGCACGGCGCGGCGGCCGTCCGCGGCCTCGGTGTGGGCCTGCCCGGCGCGGACGGCGGCAGCCCCCGCCTCCTTACCCGCCTGGGCGCCGTCCTCGCCCTGCCTCCTCTGCTCCGCGTTTTGTCCCCCAGCCCGCGCGGGCCGTTCGGGGCCTAAGGATGTCGCACCGATCGCAGGGGGCCTGCGAGACCCCCGCACGGCACGCGAGCGCGGGAAGAGCCGGTCCGGACGCCCCAAGCCCGGCCGCGCCACTCGGCCTGCGCGGCCCCTGCACCCCCGTCCCGAAGGCACGCCGCCACCACCCCGTCTTCGGGGAAAGAGCCCTCCGGAAAAGGGGGCCCTCGCTCGGAGCCCGCGCCCGGCGGGGGCAGGGGCGGGACCCGGGAGACGGCGCCCACATGCCCGGTCGTGGCACCGCCGAAGCCCGTCCCGCGGGTGGGCACCGACGCCCTCCTTTGTGTGTGTGCAGCCAGCAGCCTTGGGGGGTCTAATCCCGGGGCCCCAGAGCTGGGGAGGCGGAGGCTGGGAGAGCCCAGGTTCCCCCCAGTAATGCGATAATTGGGTGGGATTTTCGCTGAGAGAGGGAAAGTCCAGAGGACCAGCCAGCTCCCTCCCTCCCTCCCTCCCCACCCCCGCTTCATTCCAGAGCGCTTCCCTCCTTCTCTGGGAGGGTGGGGGGCGTGGAGGGGCTCGCAGCAGGGGTGGCCAGGCTGGGCATGCGTAGACAGAACTGGATCCCAAGGAAAGGGAGCTTTCCTTCTAAGAGAATGGCTGTCACTACTCATCCAGGCAGGGGCTCCCCAGGTGACCCCTGGGGACGGCGACCCCGGCCCCCACGGGCTCCCTTTGCAGATGGGGAAACCAAGGCATGGCAGTGGGAGCGGGCTGCCTCCCGTTCTCCAGCCAGCACTAAACCCAAGGGGACGTCTTAGCCATCCCCTCCCCGGAGAGGCTGCACATAAGTGGCCACAGGCCCTGCCCCGTGGCCTCTCCCGTGGGCCCCCCACATTCTGCAGGGAACACGATGGGGAGTGGGCGGTCCACGGAAGAGACATCATTTACCGGTCTGAAGCTGTCATTGCCAGCTCTCGGAAGCTCCCTAGAGCCTCTCTCCTGAATTCCACACAGGTGACAAGAATTCCTGCTAAGCTTACCTCACGGTTCTGCTGCAGACGGGGCGGCTGCCGGTGGGGAGAGTGCCTGTAAAAGTTCCTGTTATCAGGTGCCCCAGGGGGAAGCTGGGGACACGGCTCCTCCCCAAATGACAAAATTCCCCAGGCGTCTCCTTGGGCTACAAGGGAATATGCAAATGGCTGAGAGCTAGGGAATTGGTCCGTCACCGTGTGTGACCTTGGATAAGTCACTTTCCCTCTCTGGTCTTCCCTTCCCAGCAGGAAAATCACATGCCTTACCTAAAATGTCAGAATTTCCTCCGGCTGGGCAGGCTAGGCAGCCCTGGGCAGACCCGGAGACCCCGGTCCCCGCACCGCCCCGCGGCTTCAGGGGCGTCCGGCGTCCTCTTCCCCAGGGCGGCGTGGGGGAGAAAGCAGAGGGTTAATCCCTGCGTCGCGGACAGAGCCCCACTCATTCCCGGCGGTGACCTGCAGCCTCTGTCCCCAGGGCAGGCCGCGCCCATCCCGGCCCCTCTCTGTCCGCCAGTCGCTCGGGCAGCCCTGGACCCAGAGGAGAGGGTTGGCCCGAGGGACGCGCCTCAGACAAAAGTCCCCACGCCATGGGCCGGGTGATGGATGCGCGGGAGCCGTCGCCCAGCCCAGAGTCAGAGCGCGCGACAGAGCAGGACCTGGAGAGAGGGGGGGACTTCGATGCCACCAGGAGCGCAGGGTGCGCGGGAGCTCCAAGCCCAGGAGTCCGGAGGGGCGCAGCCGGGGAGCTCCGAGAGGCGCCTTCAGACCGCGCAGTCCCGGGTGCGCCACCGCCGCCCAGCTGCCTGCAGGTCTGGGGCCGCGCGGCGCACACCTGGACACCCGCGCCCCCGACAGCCCCGTGCACCCGCTCACCCTCCAGCGCACCGGCACCCTGCGTACGACGGGCAGCACCCCAGCGCTCGCGCACACCCGCACGCCCCAGCGCACCCTCCGCCGCGGGAGGGGCCAAAGCCGCCGCCGCTCCAGCTCCCAGGGCCCCGCCCGCCCCGGCGCTGCGCTCTCCCGCCCGGCGATGGCCCCGCTCGGATACTTCTTATTCCTCTGCAGCCTGAAGCAGGCGCTGGGCAGCTACCCGATCTGGTGGTGAGTGAGCCTTCTCGCCGTCGCCCTGCCCCTGTGCGCCGCCCCACCGCCACTGCCCAGCCGACAGACGTCCCCTCGGGCACGGACCCCGCGCTGGCCCGGACCTGGCGCCCGGCGCCTCCCGCTCGGCGTGCCGCGGGCGGCTGCTTTTCCTGGACGGCCACTTGCGACCTGCTCGGGCCTGGGCTGGGGCGCGGGTGGCGGAGCTTCCGGGGAAATTGATTCCCGGGCCTGGGGGGGAGCGGGGGTGGGGGCGGCGGTGAAGGTCCCAGGTGCCCCCGGCGTCGGACGGGGCGAGCAGTGGGCTGTGGACAGGCGCGAAGGGGGTCGGCCCGCACTAACGCCAAGGACACAGGCAGCTCGAGGCCGAGGGACAGGCGAGAGAGGAGGACAAGCTGGAGGAAGATTCGCCGGAGACTTTCCCTAAGGACCGTATCTTACACACACACACACACACACACACACGCACACACACGCTTTAAAACAAAGTCGGTGAGACAAGACCGAACAGCTCGGAGCAGCGCAGTTACGTAAAGACAGCTGGGACCGGCGGGGAGTGGCGGAGAGCCGGCGGCAGCGCGCACCGGGGCCAGCTCCCGGCCCTGCACGCCTCCCCTCCGCAGCGCGGGCGCAGAGGCGCCTAGGGGCCCTCTCTGCAAGGCCCCTGCCTGGATCGGCCTGGCAAGCAGGGGCTGCTCTGGGGAGAGGTAAGGTGAGAGCTCAGCAAGGGTTCGGCGGCTCCTGGGCGAGCGGCTCCGGGACCCGCGTCCGAGAGGCGCGGCGCGCCGCGGTGAGACCCTCCCCAGTCTGGCAAGCAAGTTCCCATAAACCGGAGGAAGAGTTCCCAAGGGCTCCAGCCTCCGCCGCACAGAGCCTGGGGAAGGGAGAGTCAGGGTGACCCTTGCTCGGGGGTGCGTGACTCCGCGGAGCCCCACAGAAAACAGTCTCCCCAGCCCCGACCCGAGGGCGCGCTGAGTGCCCAAGAATAGATGGACGCAAGTGGGAGAAAGTGGGCGCCGAGAGGCCGGGGCGCGCCGCCTCTGGTGGAGACCCGGAGCTGGAGAGAAGCCTCCCCACAAACATGCACACTCCCCCCGCCCCAGGAACCTTCTCCGACGGCTTGCCTGGAATTATAATAATTACGCCGAGGGGAAGGGGGGAGACGGAGCGAGCCGAAGTACATCTAATCCGATAATAATTTTTCTCTTCGAGATGGTTCGGGAGCGGGGGCTGCCGGGGTAGGGGCTCAGCCGGGCGGGTCGGGGCGGGTCGCGGGGCCTGGGAGGGGCGGGGAAGCGGCGGGGACCGCGCGCTCCGGTTCCCTGGCGGCACCCGCAAGGCGCAGGGTGGCCTCCCTGAGCGCCAGCGGGGGACCCCGACGCGCGTCCCGCGGGCCGCAGGGGCCGGGGGCAGCGCGTCCGAGAGGGCACCGCGGGCTGCCGGCTCCGCGCCAGCCTTCTAATTAGAACCCGCCGCCGCCGCATTCCTGGGCGCGATAGGAAGCGCCTTCGCCCCCGCGCTCCTGCCTTTAAGGTCACCAGCCTCCTGGCTGCCCCGAGCCCCAGGATCTTTGTCCTGTGGTCCCCGAGGGTCCACCCGCGAGGCGTGCATACCGCCCTTTCACCTGGACCGCGGGTGGTCCATCCTGGACGGACCCTGGGACGGCCTCTGGCACCGCCCCGCACTCTCCCGGTGCGGGGGAGAAGAGTCCCGTCTTCCCCGACCCCTTCCCATCGAGAGTCCCCGCAGCCCTGCGGCCTGGGGGGAAGGGGACCCCCACCTAGTGATGGCAGGGGTGTGCGTGGCAAGGACCACCCTCCCCCATCCGCTCCGCACTTTGCTCTGTGGGAGTCTCACGCTTAGGGATTCTTTGCTCTGCTAGCTGGGGAGCCGGCGCCCTGCAGACCCGGGGCTTCCGTCTTGCCTCCTTCTTGCTGCCCTTTCTGCCCTGGGCAGGCTGGACCGGAGGAGGGATGTGCGGTCCCCATGGCACAGGCAGGTTAAAGGGGAAGGAAACCGTCACAGGGCCCCCGGCCTGTCACACAGCTGGGGGCGGGGAAGGCTTTCTCTCTCCCCCTGCTCCGCTTCTGCCCCGCAGAGCTCCAGGCGTCTCCCCCTTCCTCCTGCATCTCCTCGCCTGGGCCCCCCAGATTAAGCATCGCCCTGTGGGGGGAAGAGAAGGACCTTGGCCCCTGCGGGGTGGGCACCCCTCCCTCCTGGGCGCACAGCAGGCCTGCGGGAGGGGGTCTCTTTATAACTTCTCACCCTCAGCCTCAGCCTCCCTAATTGGCCGTTTTGTTCCACCCTCCTCCTCTGTAAAGCAAAGCCGATTGCCCCGTCCCCAAACACATCCCTTGCATAAGAAAGTGAAAGTGGCGACAGGCAACCTCCTCACCTGGAGAAACAAAACCAGGAAACAGCCCAGATGAGGAGTCAGTCGTTAGGCTTTTCAAGCGGGCCTCGGTGGGAGGGTGGAAGGTGTTGCCCGCGCAGCTGGCGGCCCTGCCCCAGCAGGAGCACCCTGTGGGAACGCGGCCCACGGCCTCCCCGGCGCCGGCCCGGAGGAGTCTGTAACCCCCCGTGCCAATGCTCAGAGCTGCAGGGAGAGGGCCGGCCTGCGATCAGATCAGAAAGGTCCGCAGCCACACAGACCTCTGGGAGAGTCTGTCCTGGGCTCCTCCTGTGACAGCGGGAGCAGAGCATGGGGCTGGGAGGGGCAGCCAGACCAAGGCCTGGGTACCTGACCACCCATGGGCCACGGCCCCCACCCCCCCGCAGTCCCCTTGTCCAGGCTGAGTTCTGGTAGGGCTGGAATTCATGGAAGAGCCGCTAGAACAGAGGACCCGGCTGCCTGAAAGGAGCCCCCCCGTCTGCGTGAGACAGCACTCCCCCCGGCCACCACCGACGCTCCCTCCTCCCTCTTCCTGGAGTCGGGTTGATGGCATCTTGCAATCTCCCCAGTGCCCCAGCCAGGCCCTAGAGGTCGGCCTGGGTCCCCCTCCTCCCCATGGTCCAAGCCAACTGCGGGGCCTGGCGTGAGGGAGGCCACCACTGCCTCGCAGCCCAGGGCGAGCTCCAGCGCCGGCCTGTCCCTGCTGTACCCATGGGCTCCCCAGGCACGGAGGCTAGGCCAGGGTAGTGCCGCGTGGGGCTCTATGTGGCCTTCTGCCTGCCACCGGCTCAACTCCATGGCCTCGGACATGCTTCCTCCCAGGGTCCCCCGGTGTCCCTCTGAGCCGTGTGCCCGAGTCCCTGGAATGGAAACACATCAGTGACCCCATTTCTATAGGGCCAGCCGCACATTCCTCTGCTGGACACATGGGACCCTTCATGGCCTCTCACCAGCCTGCCCCCCAGCCTCTTGGGCACAACCAACCTCCGGGAGCTAGTGCTGACCTTTCTTCCCTCCCTGCTTGGTCTGGAGGGAGGCCCTCACCCCCAAAGGTCCTGCTCAGACATCACCTGCCCCCCACCGTCTGCGTCCTCCTTGCCTCCCCAGTGTGGGGCACAGGGCACCGCTGTGCCCCGCCGGCCCCTCCCACTCGTGCCTTGCTGGTCCTGGTCGGCCTCAGTGCGGTAGGGAGTGGGGTTCAGGGTGGGGAAGGTGCGCGAGAGCCCACAGAGGGGGTGCCAGGCAAGGGAAGGGGTCAGCCTGGGGCACTGGAGTACCAGGCAGGGAGTGGGCTGTGGCATGGCTGAGCGGGGGCGGAGAGGGCATGAGAGTGACATGGCCCTCACTCCCTCCTCTTCCTCCTCCTCCCTTCTCCCCGAATCTGTCTGTCTTTCACTTTCTCTGGGTCTCTGTCTCCATGTTCTGTCTCTCTCAGTCTCAGTCTGTTTCTGTTTCTGCCTCTGTCTCTCTGTCTCTCCTCTGTCCCTCTCTGTCTCTGTGTCTCTGTCTCTATCTCTCCATCTCTGTCTCTCTCAGTCTCTGTCCCTCTCTGTCTCTGTCTCTCTCTCTCTCTGTTTCTCTGTCTCTTGAGTTCCTGTCTCTCAGTCTGTCTCTCGGTCTCTGTACCCCTGGGACTGGGGACAGCAGTAGCGACCTCATAAAACGAGAGAAGTCGAGACCCCAGGCCGACTCCTTCTGGTGCGGTGGAATCTCGGGGTGCTGGGGGCAGCACTGCATCCTCAGCACCCCCAACACACAGCCTTTCCCGGGGCGCCCTATCAGAAACGGCCACACGCCCAGCATCTGCAGCCAGACGGCCTGCCCCACACGATGACCACGATCCATACCGGATATTGATCCGCCGCTCGCCCTTCCGGGGCGCCAGGCCCAGCGCTTGTGCCTGGGGGCGCTGTCCGCCCGAGGCTCGGGGTCTCCGGCCAGGGCATTGGGCTGGTTGCCTTTTTCCTTTTTTTAATAATTTGGTTTTCTCTGCATAAACCTCCTAGAGTCCTCTGTAGCAGGAAAAACAGGATGGGTAGATACAGCCTCATGAATGGGATCTCAGGGGCGGTGACCACTTGGTGACCGCTTCTTCCGCTGAGTCCCTCATGCAAACCTCCGGCCGGCGGGTTCGGAAAGCTCCATTCTCCCGACTCGGACTTGCTGTCTCGGTCCGGAAAACCCGGTCGGTGCTTCTCAACACGGGGCCTACCGTCCAGAGCCCGTCCGTGACGCTTGGTCCCCTGTCCACGAAGAAATAAGAATGGAAATTGGAAAAAACGTTTGAAAGTGCTTGGCGACCTCACAGCAGTTTGACAGTGGGGTGACACTTTTCATGGATTTTATAAAAATGGGTTGGAAATTAAAAAACAAACCAACCAGGACTGTGTTTGCCCCCTGTGGTAGTTGAAGGATTGGAGCGGCAGCGGCGAGACAGTCAGGGGACCCGCCTGGCGCAGCGGTGGTGGCCGGCAGGGAAGGAGGGGGACCTCCGCGGGCTGCACAGGGGCAGGCTGGGCGCGGGCTGCGGGTGCCGAGGGGGCAGGGCCTGGCTCAGGGTGAGAAAAGGCTTCCTAAGGATGTGGGCCGGTGCCCCTAGCGGGCCCTG